AACTCTTTATGTTATTGTCATTAAGTGGGTAATGAATCACAAAACAAATAATCAAAGCATTTTAGAGGTGGGGGTACCAAAAGTGTCTTTGCCCCCGGGTGCTGAGAACCCTTGCTACGCCACTGGTAGTGTGGTTTCCCTATCATCTCCTGACTATGGAAATTCATTAGCAAAAGCATCACATCTCAATTTAATGTAGCTTTAGATATAAGCTTAGTCAAGTTAGTGCAACATGTCACTTACACATCTCAATCCACACGAAAGGGAGTATTTTTTAATTTTTTTGAACTTTTAAGAACAAACTTTCCAAAAATTCAACTAAAATATTATACAAATATTAAACCAAATTGAATAATTTTTAAAGCAGTTTACTTATTATGTAAACCTTGTGTACCAAATAAGCATTTTAAGTGTGAGAACAAAATAAACACTATGTCTGCCTTCCTCTCCAGATAGTGTCAATATAGTAAAAGCCCACTGAAAAATTGGCGAACTCACGAATATTTCAGTTTTATAAACCAAACATATTCTTTCATCACTATTCACAGAAGTACTAAGTATTATGTATACGATATCTTCTCTTCAGGTGGCGCAAGCCAGTAAGCTCAGTCTCACTTCATATTTTGACATCTTAATATTCAAATAAAAGTTCTTTTGATTTGCTCATTTACTCGTTTGCTTAATTCAACATAAAGAATAAGTTTATGTGCTATGTCACTGCACATAAATTATCGTGTGTGTGTATGTATATATATATGTGTTGTCTGCTTGTTTGTGTAGTTTATAATAATACAGTCATCAGAACGACCTAATCCGTTACTTCAGCTAGGTGTGTCCCAATAGCAGATCGTTCATACTCGTGATGGACGGAGTAGAAATAGTTTATTCTTAACAACAAACAAACCCAAAAGCAGGAGGGCGCTATCTATTAGTACAATCACAGGAAGAATTTAACTGAACTAAGCCTGGAGGTATATTCATCATACCCCCCTGTAGAATACAAACAATAATACATACTTAGACTGATAGATAGAATCTAACAGCGAAATATGTTCATTAATATCCTAGCCCTGTTCTGTCCATTATCTCGGGCTTTTTAGCAAAGCACGTGACCACCTCAAATCATTTACAAAATACAACTATAACTGCAATGTTCAAATTTGAATTTAGTTTTGATATAGACTGTATGAACATTTGTTTTGGAAAGAGAATAAAAATATTCAAACTTCTAACTAACTTTTAGTTTTTGCTCCATTTGTAATTTTTCTTCCGAGATAAAACTAGTCAACAAATTAAAAATAACCGAAAGTTTATGAAGTAAAATTGTTTCATTTTCAAATTGCTCTACATAATTTTTAAAAGCAGTAGAAAGATATTATTCTTGTTAGTGTAATCTGTTACTAGGATTTTGTAGCTTGTTTAAATACATGCATGTATATATATATATTCATTATTTGAAATAATTGAGAAAACGGTGAGAGAAAATGGCATCAAAGGCAAATATTACAGGAACGTCACTGTTTTATCATATGAAAACGTATATAAAGTACAGGAACTCTTAACGTGTCCATTAGTAGTAGCGTGAACTCATTCATGGCACCCAGGACTGAAACACAGCATGAAAATCGTCTAGAAATCAATGTGTTAGGTGGTAAAGGATAGTCCACACGACAAACTTTTGTGATCAGTAACGTTTGGAGAGAGCTTAAATGGTAACGAAGAAAATTGTATTACAAGTTTAAAATAGTAACAGATGTACAACGTTTCGACAAGATTTTGTTATCATCAAGTCAAAACGTTGTACACTTGTTACTATGTTAAATTTCTAATAAAATTTTCTTGGTTACCTATTCAAGCAGTCGACAAACTATATTTGACAGTAAGATAGACATTAGTTCTAAGTGGTCTCATTGGACGTGTAACTGTTAGGAAGCTACTTCTAAGAATAGGTAAAGAAAACATGAGGTCGAAATAGGCTGATTTCTCCTAGCCCGTTCCCTTGGCTGTGGTTTCGCTAGATAGTAGATAGAGACAGTGGGAATCTCGTTAATCCATTCATGCGCGTCACTAATTAGATGACGAGGCATTTGGCTACCTTAAGAGAGTCAGGGTCCACGTTCCGCGCTGATTTTTCCAAGCCAGTTCCCTTGGCTGTGGTTTCGCTAGATAGTAGATAGAGACAGTGGGAATCTCGTTAATCCATTCATGCGCGTCACTAATTAGATGACGAGGCATTTGGCTACCTTAAGAGAGTCATAGTTACTGTAGAATAATCAAAACAAGATATGTAGCTCTTTACATACGAATACAAACTTGAATTGTTTGGTAACAATCAGTTAAAGTTTGTTCAGTGATGAAGTATCATGTTCAACGTACGTTTACAATGAAGCATGCAGGTACTCAGTGCATGTTTGGAGCTGCATCTAATCCAACAGTGTAATGGTTTACTACAACTGATGACATTCTGACTGGTGACAAGTGCACCCGGATCTCTATTCGTCACGCCATTCTCTTAGGAACAAGATTCACTGAACATGGACTCTTCTCCCCCCACCTCCAAGAAAATATTCCCAAGCATACAGCAAATATGATGGAATTCTATGTTACTGGGAATGATAGAACACTCATAACCATGGCCTTGTCTACACAAAGTCCTGATATGAACATTTTCAAAACTTATGGGCTAGCATCAACTGTGAGAAGGTTGAAAAGAAACGAAATAAACTGGCCGAATTGTGGGAATAATACAGGATATTTGGAAAAATATACCACAATCATATATTGGTAAAGTGTATATGGTGGAAAGAAAACGAGGTGCTCACATACTAAATACTAGTGTATTTTACAATGTATTCGTTTTGTCTGTTTGTTTTTTCTTCGGGAATGTTTTATATTATTAATAAGTTTTCCATTGAGGTAACATTACTGTTGTTTAAGAATTCTGTTTGTGTATCGCTTGTGTGTTTCCATAATTGTTTCTTTTCGTGTATAAGTGTTTTTTTTAGCTTCCGTAATAACTTTACTTTACTTATATAATGATAACCATAATTTCCTTTCAGTAATCTCGAGTGCAGAGTTTTATTGGCATTATTCTTATGAGTTTATTTAGTTATGCGATACAGTTCATTAACTAATATAAATCATGTATAGCTCTTTGTTTTAACCTACAATATATTTACGACAGCCGTAATAGAGCCTAAAACCTCTAGCTAGAATGTTTCAATTTAGGTTAGCCTTCGGTTTTCTGTCTGAAATATGTAAATACCTATCAATAAACATAGTTCTAATTAAAGGCTTCATTTAGCGAATTAGAACGATAAAAGTTTTACTGAAATGTAAATAATGCACTAGATTTTTGAAGTCTATCATTAGTACCTATAGATAAACATAGTTCTTTGCTATTGTACTAATTAAAGGCTTCATTTAGCGAATTAGAACGATAAAAGTTTTACTGAAATGTAAATAATGCACTAGATTTTTGAAGTCTATCATTAGTACCTGTAGATAAACATAGTTCTTTGCTATTGTACTAATTAAAGGCTTCATTTAGCGAATTAGAACGATAAAAGTTTTACTGAAATGTAAATAATGCACTAGATTTTTGAAGTCTATCATTAGTACCTATAGATAAACATAGTTCTTTGCTATTGTACTAATTAAAGGCTTCATTTAGCGAATTAGAACGATAAAAGTTTTACTGAAATGTAAATAATGCACTAGATTTTTGAAGTCTATCATTAGTACCTGTAGATTATATCTAATATTAATCAACAGTGTTATTAATTTCTTTAATTATATTTTCGTCTTAAAACTCAACACTCTTTGTATGTACCGTTTGACTTTTACTGCTTTTTTAAGAGCCTGATTGCATTTTTACAAACGAATAGTTCATTTATTATAACAAACATAACCAAAATTGTACAAAACTACTCATGTAGAGGATATTAAAAATGTGTCGCTGTTTTCTTAGGTAGTCGCTCAGGAACATCTGCTAAAAGTCAGAACAACTAAGGGAAGTTTGTTGTAAAGCATCCTGCTATCTAAAGTCTGTCAAAAAGTAAATAAAAATAGATGTCATATTTCAACAGCTAAAAAAAATGCCTCTACAGTTCATTAGTTTAATTGAAAAAGTATATATTACTATGTAAACTACAGATAGTTTACGAAGTTTAAAATAATATACAAACAAATATATAACATTATGCTCAGTTCAAAAATATGTAATCTGTCTTCGTCATCAAATGAAATAATAAAACATCGAAGAATAGATTTCATATAACTTACAAACTAAGAAAATGTCCTGTAACATCTAAATATATACATGAATGTATTTCAAAATCTATAGCTGAATTTCTATTTGAGAAACATACAATACACGTTCAGGAAAGAGCTCAGATAAAAAATATATTATTAATTATATTTCAGTAATGAATAATGAACAGTATTAACATTTCAAATTTTCCTGTTTAGATTTTGAAACATAAGTTATTTACCTTTTTATTTACAGTTAACTTTAGTGCTTCGTTACCACTTGCCATAGCCATCATTACTTCCTCGATTTCCACCAAATCCTCCTCCCCCAAAGTTGTTTCCGTAACCACTGTTTAGGTTACCTCCTGCAGTTCCACCTCCAAAATTGTTGTTGTGTCCTTCACTACCTGTTCCACCAAATCCTCCAAAACTACTACTACTACCATAGCCGTTATTAAACCCTCCTTTACCGCCACCAAAATTGTTTCCGCCTGGAGAACCACTGCTACCATAGCCTCCACCTCCAAAGCCCGTATTTCCAAAACTACCACTTCCAAATCCTCCCACCTGACTTCCACTAAATCCACCATTGCTATAGCCATTTCCTCCAAATCCACTACTGCCCTGTTCAAACCCACCACTACCATATCCACTTCCTCTTTTGCCACCCCCGAATCCAAAGTTACTACTTCCTTGTCCACTTCCAAATTTTCTATTGCCATACCTGTTTCCTCCCCCATATCCATTACTTCCATATCCCCCTCCTCTTTTTCCACCTCCAAATCCACTGCTTCCATACACATTTCCAGAGCTACTGCCAGTGTATCCACTTGCTTGGTATCCATTATTACCAAACGCGGTTCCTGATCCACCACTGGCGTATCCGCCTCTTCCGTTACCACTTTTAAATCCACCTCTACTTCCTCCTCCACTGTAGTTTCCACATTCAACGACCATCAACCAGGTTGATAGGAAGAGAAATGTCATCTAGAATTATTAGAACATGCCAACTGAATTCAAATTTTCAAATTTAGAAAGTCCTGTGCTGATATATATGTTGATAAACCATTAAACTCATTCCCAATACTAACTTTACTAACATTTACTAACTTTTCTTGTAGATGTGAAAATATTAAGGGCCATAATATAATAAAAATAAATTTTCGTTTTAAAATATATCACATTTGTCGGTGTCTACAGTAGCTGAAAATTATCTTAATCAGAATACTTCAAAGGAAAACACGAGTCTACTAACCATCCTTATGCACATTTAATATATTTATTTCTATGTAGCTGTGCTGTATATCAACATGTCTGAAAACTTAAGAATACTGAAGATTCTGCAAAGACACACGTTATAAAATTTATTATGCAAAATATATCAAACAAAAATTTTGATCCAAAAAAGCACAAGTTTGAAAATTCAGAGAATGTTAACTGGATAAATGATCCGAAGTAGAAAATAAAAAAGTCCTAGCTAAAAGTATCCTTTTCAAATTAGTATTCGATTCTCATTCTACGAAACGTGTAAGTAGCTTCTATAACTTCTAAGAAAAACAAATAGCTGATTTCTCAAATATATTTTTTACCCATAGTGACATTGAAATTTTTATTTTCTACCTTTTCTGTTGCCTTGAATCCTTCTCTTTTGTATAATGCATTTTTATCTCTGTTTAATAAAACTTTGAACTCTTATTTTGAAGATTGAATTTTCTGTTGGATTTAACATTGTAAAATATAGAATTTAAGTGTTGTCACTAGCTATTATATTAATTATATATATTTGATTTTATCTGTAAAGAGTCTTGATACGATGCCTCAATGAAGAATAGACTTATCCGAATGAAGGTGTTTTAATGCTTGTTACTGGGTGCTGATTACAGTTGAAGCTAGTCTATATCTTGATTTTTTCTTGACATAGCCTAACTCATCGAATACGTAGGTATATGAAATGCTGAAAACTTTGTTTTTTTAAAACAAATCATATTATAAATTTAATATTTTAGATAGGACTTTCTATAAAATATATGATTTGATATACTTTTTTTGTCTCGATGAAATTCACAACTAGTGAAACGTCATGTGCTGACGTTATCTACTTATAAGTACGATTTGCAACAGAACTAATTAATTATGGTTTGCTACTATATGAAACGAGCAAGTATACTCTTTGCTATAAATCCAACTTAAGTATTTCAGACTTAATTATCATGAATACATTAACTAACACAAACTTGAGAGTAAACTGACGGCAACCTTTTAAGTACAAATTCCTAACTCATTTTAAAAGACAGGTTTAAGATAAATCTTTGTGGATTTATTGTTTAAAACACGTTTCTCTCATTATTTAAGAAAAAAATATTAAATATTTGAAGTCTGGTGAATTACAATATTTTTGATAGTTTAACAAACAATTTTTTTCTCTCTCTTTATACACATATGTGTGCGTCATGCTGCCATATCTTTTTTCCAGATTTGCTTAGTTAAATGTTTCCCATTTTTGTACTATGCTTTGGCGTTTAAGCGCTCATCTACTTATGGTATTATTTTTCTGTAATTAGTTTCTATACATTTTATGATACGAAATACATTCAGTGGGACTTACCGTTAGCCTCATGGTGCTTTTTCTAAAATTTTCTTCACGTTCAATCCAAAATGAAACCAGAACCTACACTCTGGAAACACAAATCTCAGAAAGATACACCAACACTCATCATCTACCTCTTTTTATACATATTCAGAAGGGGAGGAGTGAGCTGGTCGTTCTTCTTTTGCCATTATTAGGTTACAAGTAGGTCATGTACTAAATGTAAGCCATCATGTTGTTCCTAGTCTTGGTTCCTTGACGAAATAATCTTTATTTTAACTCACGCATAGGTGGTGGTTGAAATAACCTGCTCATTTTTTGTTTTGTCTTCAGCCAAAAAGCAGTGATTACAGTGAAAGAAATGGTTACTTATCTACGCCCTTTGTTTCTTAAAAATGAATTAGAAATTTAACAAAAACAGGTAAGAATGATTTGAAACTGACGAGGGCGTGTTCTTGATTTTACTTTTGGTTTTGAGAGATTGCCGGGTCTTTTGTATGTTTGCATTGTTAAGAAACTTTGTTATTGTTTCGTAGATTATGATATATTGAGAAAAATTGTCACTTACTTGTTCCATTATTTTGTTGAAAACATAGAGTTATGAAGAATGAGCAGATAACATTACCTACAGAAATTTGTAAACGTAATGCCTTTTTTTTCTATATTAACTTTGATGGCCAATATTTTTCTGGTATTTTTTTCATCTGTATGCACTTTATGGCATTAAATCATAACTATCTTACGTATAAACCATGGTTTTACGTATGATTCAGGATTACATAAACTGAAATTACTGATCGGAAACCCTGAAAATACAAATTTAAAAAATCACTTTTACAAATGGGGCTTAGAGAAGCTAGCAAAGGATTACAGTCGGTTAAACTATAAAGATATCTATCTATATATTTATATATAACAGTAATATGTATACAAACGCTATTAGTATAACTTAAAAGTCTTAACTGGATGAATCTTTTAATATTTGATGAAATCAGGGTTTTTAATGAAGAAATCCGATGTATATGAATAGAAAGCTAACTTTTCTAACATTCCATGTTATTTCAAATATAGGTATCAAAAAGACTGCTTCACATCTATACTTGGGCAGGCTCATAGTATATACATATAAGTTTTGAAGTTACCTTCCCTACCTGATAAGCATATGGAACTTACATGGAACTCATGCTAAATACTATGTGTTTAACATCAAGGTGAAACCACACATTGGGTCTTCTAAAGACACAGTGCATGCAGGATTGTAGTTACCATGTTAGATATTACGTGTTTAAAATATATGGCAGTAGTTTTTACTTTCTAAAACAGTATTAATATATTCCTTTGTGATAACGCCACGGAATCTAGATTAACAGTTTCTTGTCATCACCCGCATCTCAGTACAGTCGTATCAAGCATCATTATTTACACTAATTGCTTAAGCTAATATCACGTGACGCTAAACGCTCTTTAATTAATTTGAGAATTTTATAAGATTTAGCAAATTGTGCTTAAAAGTTGATAAATGTGATCATGTGAAGGTAAAGAATATTTAAGTGTATCCTCATATACCTGTTTCAGTAATAGGGCTACTTCTAAATATACTTTTCCTTGAAACCAATCGTACACAACCATTAATACCAGGTAGTTTTGATGGAGACAAAAAATAGACTCGTTAAGGAGTTGCTGGATATTAGAAGTGGATTTTTTAGCATTTCTCACTTCTCAGGTGTTCTTAAACTATAACTTTAACAAAACCTATACTTCCTGTATAACATTTACGTAATAAGTATTATAATGTTTATTCATCTATACTTCAATTCTATATGATAATGTTTGGCTGAATAATTAAAAATACCGTGACGTCTTCATGTAATATGATAGCGTAGTGTACTTTGGAATGTAGGTATGTTAACACCAAGTTGAAATCACATATTGTATCTTGTAAAGACACTGTGTATGCAGAATTGTAGTTATCGTGTTAGATAATATGTGTCAACCCTCTATACCAGCTTTTCTGTGAGCTAAGAACTTTGCGACAACCCTATAAACCAGTCTCTTTGTGAGCTAAGCAAATTGGGATACCCTTTTAAAACAACCTCATTGTAGGCCAAGCTTATTGTAACAGTATTATAAGCCAGTATCACGGTGGGCTAAACACACTGTGATAACCCTCTAAATTAGCCTTTCTGTGCAACCCTATAAACCAGCCTCATTGTAGGTTAAACACACTTTGTCAAACCCTCTAACTGTGAGCTCAGTGCACTTAGACACTTCTGTTGTACAGACAGGCTCACTTTACTTGTATTTGAAGCCTTTTGAGTTATGCATCTTTTCGATAGTATGCTGTCTTTTCATTCCAAACAAATCACACAATGATCTCCTTATAGTGTAAGTGCAGATTTCACAGATAGAATACCCTGTTATTGGTTATAGTATCATATTTTAAATTTCATGGATTTCGATCATATAATTTTTGATTTCTTTACACGAAATGTTTAAGAATTTTTAGAAATTTACAGTAAAGATTATAAAAAAGATGTTTCCTTTTTTACCATTGGAATGCAAATGTTCATATTTGTTGGATTTATTTGTTCTTGAATTTTGAATAAATTTTTATATACGATCATTATTTACGCTCAGGAACAACCAGACAATGTACAAATTATTCAAGATTGATTTTGTAGTGTTTGTTTGTTTGTAATTAAGCACAAAGCTACACAATGGGCTATCTGTGCTCTGCCCACCACGGGTATCGAAACCCGGATTCTAGCGTTGTAAGTCCGCAGACATACCGCTGTGCCACTGGGGGACATTTTTGTAGTGCTAATCTCTATTGCTGTCCATGTAAAAGTTTGAAATTAAGATATAAATTCAATTTTGTATTCCTTATTTCATTGTGTGCAAAAGAATGGCATTTTTTCCTTAAAGAAATGTATAATAATAGTTTTCATAGTGTAAAAGGAGTATTTGCATCTCCATTCAAGAACATATTATTATTTTATAAAATGCGAATTCTTACGATGAGAGTCCACCAAGCAGATATTTCAATGTCTTCGCTATAGTTACAAACAGCAGTTCACGCGGAAACTACAATGAATATTAACTTTAGTAGTTCATTAACTTGCCAATATAACTTTTTTTGAAGTAACTGTATTGGTTGTTAACCTTAGCTTCTTACCTGTGAATGGTCTTTTGCTTGTTTATTTTGTAAATTTTATAAAGTTAGCTTACTAAACACATATATGTCAATTTAACCAAATTATTCAAAACATGTGTAGTTAAAATGATAAAATATTTGTTATAGTTTATAAATTATCTATGTTATCTAGTTTTGCTCAAAAACATATGCTAAACGTAAACCCACATGCCGAATAAAAGTACTATAATTTCAACTTGTTTATCA